TGAACATTCCCATTTCTGACTGCACAGTTAAGATCACTGAAGAAACAGTTGAAGATGGTTGGACCTCAGACGGTACATTGACAAGCTTGCCCCCATCCTCTCCCTCATCTTTGATAGTCTGCAATGCTGTTAATGGACTTTGAATATAAATTAATCAACTTGAAAATTATTGGTGATGTTTAGCAGATGAAAAAATACTGTAAGTGATTTGGTGATGGCGGGGGGCACAGGGGAAATTTCAATTGTTTGTGCAAGAGAACTTCTGGATAAAAACAAAGTACATTGACAAGCTCGTTCATTGGTACTCTGGGACTGAGATGATAGATCTTCAATGACCACAGCTATAACCTTTGTTCTAGGTATGACTTGAGCCAGTGGATATTTCCACTCCCTGCCCTCTTCCACCCTGCTGCTTGACCAATCTTCCAATTTCAACACTTGTCCCAGATGTTAATAAGGAGCATTTTGCACGGACTGGGCAGCACACATTGTTGTAATCTCTCGTTCTGAGGTCAATGCTGGGGGGAGGAGGGTATGCATGGTTTTACTCCTTCAGCTTTTCTGTAGCAATTTGGTACAACTGAGCGGCTTGCTAAGTCAACCACATCACCTAGGTCTGGAGTCACACATGGTTTCTTTCCCTAAAGCATGAAAGCAATGGTGGGTGTGTATGAGATCAGACTTTGAGGAACACATATTATAAGGGATTGCAGGGGTAGAACATGAGATTGACAGAGACAAAAGTCATCAAATTTGAAAGCATGGATTTGGATTTCAGGAGAAAAATGGAATGAGGTAGATGTGAAGCTAGCTGATTGACAGAGGTGGAAGCAAAAAGTCTTTGTGATGCATAGCATATGGAATCCATTGAGCTGTGGGTAAAGTAGGACATCAAAGTTACATATATGTGATCCAGTCCAAGACTTTGGATTGGAAGGGGATTGTTTTGGTGGTGAAAGAATGGAATGTGTGGTAGCGACTCAAAACAATAGATTCAGTCTTCCCAATGTTTAACCAGAGGTAACTGTATCCAGAAGTGCATGTCAGATAAACTGGCTGAGACAATCAGGCAATAGAACTGGTTGAAAGAGATGATGGTGAGGTAGGACTAGTGCCATCATTCCCACGAATAAAGAGCTATTCTATTTTATTTTGGGTCGTTTTACACTTCTGGCAATGTCCCCACAACTCTGCCACAGATATATATAATCAATTTGATACAAGTTTGAGGAAAAGTTCTATACACTCCCTGATATCAAACGTTGAACTTTAACTCAACTTTATCTCATTATAACGCAATGAACAAAATACTAAACTCCCAAGCAGAGGCAGACACCAATGAGTGCTAGAGAATACTTTTAAACATCCAATGCCGACAATTACTTCACAAGTCTGGCAGCAACTGGTGGAGAGAGAAATTGACTTAACATTAGAAGTCCAATATGACTCTTCTTTGAAACTCATTTAAGCACTTTCAGCTTTTTGTTCAGATTTCCGCCATCCTCAGTATTCTGCTTTTCTGTTACCCACAGTTATTCTATAAGCTGCTATTTCAATTCAAACTAAATTTCTAACTTCTGACAACATGATATACGTTTGTTTCATGCAACCATGTGGGGTGGGGACTGAGATTCCAATTCAGCTTTGACCTACTGATTTTGAATCTTGTTCTGCTTATTCTATTGAAGTCAAGTAATTTCCCTGCATGTATTCATCTATGCTCTCCAGTTGTTAAATGCTCAATTTCTATTACTGACCCTGTTGTTCTTGTCTGAGCCCTCCCCAATACATCACTGCTCTGTAGATGTCAAGACTCCCAAAGTTGCACATGTCATTTTACATATGGCCTCATTCAGAGATGCCTGCAAAGTTGTAATAATTTTTACTTGCTGTTAACATATTATTCACCACAAATCCAAGCACATTGAAAAGATTTTTTTTCTTTATTCATTCATGAGATGAGGGAGTTGTTGGCTAGCCAGTATTTATTGCCCATCCCTAATTACCTGGGGGCAGTTAAGAGTCAACCACATTGCTGTTGATCTGGAGTCACATTTGGCCAGACCAGGTAAGGATGGCAGTTTCAAGAATGTAAAATCTTTAACTTTCCACTCCATTAGTATTACCCTAAGACTTGGGAATCTCTTTGATTTCTTATCCACTTTGCCTCAGTGGCAGCATTCTTTTGTTAGATAGAAAGTTACAGTCTGACTTCTACATTCAAGTCTTCTACGCACGATCTTGACTTATAAAGTAGCGCTGAAGGAGTTCAGCATAGTTGTAGGTATGTCTTTCAGGTGAGACAATAAATCATAGCCATGTCCGTTATAGTTGAACTCCCCTGGCAATATTTCTTTTTACAATTAACACAAATAGAAACAGATTTAAGAAAATCACCTTACTTGCTATTTGTCGGTTCTTGCAATGTGTGAATATGCTGCAAAGTTTCCCTGCATTAAAGCACTCAAAAGTAATCGGTTATGCAAGATATGATTTGGGCTGCCCCAAGGATAGGAAAAGCGCTATGGAAATGAAATCTTTTAATTTGATTCAATTGCTTGAACAGGTTGACGTTAGGAAGAGGATGTGCTAGAAATTTTGAAAAACATGAGGATAGATAAGTCCCCTGGGCCAGATGGGATGTGCCAAAGGTTACTACGGGAAGCGAGGGAAGAGATAGTTGCACCTTTGGCGATGATCTTTGCATCCTCACTGTCCACTGGAGTAGTACCAGATGATTAGAGGGTGGCAAATGTTATTCCCTTGTTCAAGAAAGGGAATAGGGATAATCCTGGGAATTACAGACCAGTCAGTCTTACTTCTGTGTTGGGTAAATTATTGGAGTGGATTCCAAGAGATAGTATTTATGATTATTTGGAAAAGCACAGTTTGATTAGAAATAGTCAGCATGGCTTTGTGAGGGGCAGGTCGTACCTCACAAGCCTTATTGAATTCTTTGAGGATGTGACAAAACACATCGATGAAGGTCGAGCAGTGGATGTGGTGTATATGGATTTTAGCAAGGCACCTGATAAGGTTTCCCATGGTAGGGTCATTCAGAAAGTTAGGAGGCATGGAATTCAGGGACATTTGGCTGTCTGGATACAGTATGGGCTGTCCAATAGAAGACAGGAGGGTGGTAGTAGATGGAAAGTATTCAGCCTGGAGCTCAGTGACCAGTGGTGTTCTGCAGGGATCTGTTCTGTGACCCCTGCTGTTTGTGATCTTTATAAATGACATGGATGAGGAAGTGGAAGGGCGGGTTAGTAAGTTTGCTGATGACACGAAGGTTGGTGTAGGTGTGGATAATGTGGAGGGCTGTTGTAGGTTGCAACGGGACATTGACAGGATGCAGAGCTGGGCAAAGAAGTGGCAGATGGAATTCAATCCGGAAAAGTGTGAAGTGATTCATTTTGGAAGGTCAAATTTAAATGCGGAATACAGGGTTAATGGCAGGATTCTTGGCAGTGTGGAGGAACAGAGGGATCTTGGGGACAAGTCCACAGATTCCTTAAAGTTGCTACCCAATTTGATAGAGTTGTTAAGAAGGCGTATGGTGTGTTGGCTTTCATTGGCAGGGGAATTGATTTTAAGAGCTGCGAGGTTATGCTGCAGCTCTATAAAACCCAGGTTAGACCACATTTGGAATATTGTGTTCAGTTCTGGTCGCCTCATTATAGGAAGGATGTGGATGCTTTAGAGAGGGTGTGAGGAGATTTACCAGGATGCTGCCTGGACTGGAGGGCAGGAATGGCTGAGGGAGCTAGGGCTTTTCTCTTTGGAGCGAAGAAGTGTGAGAGGTGACTTGATAGAGGTCTACAAGATTATGACAGACATAGAGTGGATAACCAGAGTCTTTTTTCCCAGGGCAGGAATGAGTATTACGAGGGGGCATAATTTTAAGGCGATTGGAGGAAGGTCTAGGGGAGATGTCAGAGGTAGGTTCTTTACACAGAGAGTGGTGGGTGCGTGGAATGTACTGCCGGCAGTGGTAGTAGAGTCAGATACATTAGGGACATTTAAGCGACTCTTGGACAGGCACATGGATGATAGTAAAATGTAGGGTATGCAGGGTAGTTTGATCTTAGAATAGGATAATAGGTCGGTACAACATCGTGGGCCGAAGGGTCTGTACTGTGCTGTACTGTTGCATGTTCAATTCGTCACAGGTTACAGTAGCTAGATCCAGGATTTTAATATGAGCAAAACAAATGGTATGATAAAGGTCGTTTCCTCCATTAAAATTTAAAACAGTCCCAATAATCTCTGCAGCAAAATAACATAATCAGAAGGTAATTTTGTGTGCCTGCTTTTCCCATTCACGTCATACACAAGCCAGTTTCACTTCCTAGGTCAATGCCAAAATAGTCTTTGGTTCTGAACGAACGTTACAAAATGGCCCAAAACACAACATTACAAAACAGTATTGCACTTCACTTTACTGATTCTGAATCTGGCTCTACATTCCAATTTGGCATCACTAGTTTAGAATATATTGCCTGAAGTCACCAGTTATCTTTACACGCTCTGAAATAAGGTCCCACTCCTTTATTTACTAGAGGGCACTCAAATTGATCATTTCTGTGCACAGAATATCATCGTATTTTGGACTGCACATTCAAATCTCTTTTTAACTTTATTCTCAATATTATTTATTTCAAACTCCGAAAGTTTCATTTTAGCCGTTCCTGCAAGTTCAGATTCCTTCATTTCTAATTGATCTTGAACATGTGAAGAAATCATCATTTCTCCTATTGTCAAGCAGTATATAACACTGCAAATTTAATCAAGTTTCATGCCATGTCACAGCAATCCATAGAATATTGTTTCCTACAATATGACCCATAAACTCGAGTGTCAAATGTAATTTACATTCTATGATGCTCTGGAAGTTATCAGGACTAATTAGGCCTACCAGCCAAGCTAATCAAATAAAGCTTTAGATTTCAAACCAAATGAGTAATAAATGAGTCACCACTGGAAGGAACACATCGACTCACCAGCTTTGGGATTATCTGGGTTCTTGTCTGGGTGGCATTTCAAAGCCTTCTGTCTGTATGCTTTCTTAATCTACAAGTTCAAAAGATACAAACAAAAAAAAAAGTCATAGTAAGGAGCAAAACATCAATGAGTTAAATTAATGTCCAAAACTGAACTTGGAAAGGTCATCCTTTTTACACTCCTCCCTGTACTTAAAATTATTTTCTTTCTCTCCTGAAATTAGCAAACAATACAATGATATAGGTTCACTCACACTGGCATGCTGAATAATCAAGATTGACAGAGACAGCAAGGACATTGGGGGAGGTGGGGGGTCGAACATGTGTGTACTACAACTCCAGAGACAGAGACACAGCAGTGCCCCAGGAGGGACAGTACATTTTGCCTCAGTCTGGAAAATGTCCCAATCATTGATCAGGGAGCCTCTGCTGAAACATGGGCAAGATCAGCTGCAGTGGCAACTCGCCTGATGGCAATCACAAACACATAAATGACTACTTGAGGAAAGTGCGTGTACACAGCATGATCTGAATCTGTTGGAAGACAAGGCAAAAATGTTACAAAAAAATAGTATTGTTGTATGATATATTATAGTTAAACATTTAAAATCCATGTTGCTATGCAGCAGGCAAGTTGAGCAAGATGACAAGGCTGAGTTGTGGACAGAGAGCTCAGCAATGCAAGATCAAAGCTACAGATCATCTTGTCAGCTGTATGATAGTCATTTCAAGGTTTCACATACGGTTGCATTTCACATTTGGATCCATGGGATTATGTTGTGGCTTCAAAGTGGCTGTCATAAAGTGGGTCATTGAAAACAAACAACCTGAAGAGACCCAAGTTAACATCTTAACTACTTGACGTCTGCCAATTTGTGAATCACATTTGAGCAACCTCTGACAAGCTTAAGCTTCTGGCAATAAGATGGTTAATAATGATTATTCCTATTTTATGAATAAGCACAGATTTTCCCAATTAAAATTTGTACTCAAAGAAATGAAACTGTGAAGTCTGGTTGTAATTGTGGTTTTGAATAAGGAAATCACAGTGATCCAACAGCATTCCATGTGCTATTTGTTTATTACCCTTGCTTGTTTTGAACCGCAGAGAAACTGATCAGTGTGCTGCGGGGCAGATGGCACAGTCTGGTCACAGCATATCTCACTTGAGAGCAGAGAAAGTGTGCCAGTTTTATAGTAATGATGAAGTGAACCGGTGAAGCTGGACAGCTTTCAAATGCTGTATTTGTCTGCATCCTCTACCATCAGTCAACCACAGCTGGAGAGAAAACAAAACAACAGAATCGAAATCCAAGCACAAGGGTTTCAAAAGTACCATCAGAATACATTTGGAACCGCCTCATGCCAAACCTCAGCACAGGAAGATTGCAATGTCGTCCAATATTCAGGAGTGCAGCAAGCAAGGGAAAGGACAAAGGGAACCTGAACACTAGGGTTGTAAAGGGAATAATGTGACTGCACTTGGGTTGTTCCTAGTTAGCTCAAAAGCAAGCTCACCAGAAAACCTGTTAGTACTTGTGTCCATTTATCCACTTGACTGACAAGTGATGAATCAATCATGTGAAAACTTTATGTTACAATCCTCAGAGAGGAATCACGTTTATCAAAAGATTTGAATTGCCAGTGATCAATGTAAAATAAATTCAATGACAAAATTTAAAGTTTTAATAATTCTACTATAAGAAATAAACTAAAACCAACATGGAGTAAATTTCACCCAGTAGGTAACTAGTATTCTAAAGTACGGAAACAATAACTCTTAATAATGTCTTAATGTGACCAAAAATATCATGCTGCTGATAGATACTTTATAGCACATTCTCCACAGAATTTATACGGGACAATCCACAGTCACTCACAACTTCCAATGGGTTCACCTATTCCCACTTCACAGAATCGAAACAGCCAGACATCAAAGAAGATCCTCTCCCTCAACCCTCTAATAATTCCCAAATTGATCTTCAGCACACCAGAACGGTGCTACGTACTTTATACTCAAACCAAGGTTTTACATAACTTTGAAGTTGACAGTGTGCTAGACAATTTGATGATCTGACTGAAGCCAAGTGGAAGATTCCAGAGAACAGTATACAAACATTCAACTTTGCCAGTTGAATTCACTACAATCTACTCCTGTTAATAGTCATTTTAGAATGGAATTACCTCATGATATACATTATGTCATTTTAAAAGGGCACAGGCAGATTAGTTTTTTGCAGTTCAATTAATTCAATTAGAACTAAAATATAAGTCAAATTTGGTAACTTTGAATTAAGAGTGGTCTGCATTTTGTTCCATTCAATGCTGAGACTGTAAATCGATGGATAGGTCATTCAGCCCACCCATGAACTCCCTCAACCAGAATTTCTCTACAGCATTTCAAAACTGGGGTTCTTACGGTTATTCTCTTCACTGATGAAGAATTATATCCAGTACTTCTGAAGTGAAAAGGTTTAAACAGAGACAAATGCCAAAAGAAACAAAATGTACAGCCGCTTTCTATCCTTGAAATGAAGACAGATACACAAGCTTTCTGCATTCAGCACTGAAATGTGGGGCTGGAAATCTGGGCAAAAAAGGGTCCACGGAAGAGGTTTGTGCAACAAAAAAAAAGGAGACTTCAGTTATCCTCGCTATTTAGCGATTGTGCAACAGATGAGAATTTGGCAGAGAAAATGGCAAAGCTCAACTCATGATGATGAATGCTAATCAACAGTGATCAGATGTGTTAGGTTTATAGCCCCACCTTTAAGCAAATGAAGGTGGCCATTGTAGCAGGCAAAGAGCAGTGGTGGGAGACAGTAGGAATAGTTACCAAAGAGATGAGTATTTAAAGTATTTTACAGAAAAATCTATATTCTATATTGATTATAATGAATGCAATATGTTTTACAAGAAATTCCCACAGAATCTGACCACACAAAAAGTGTTCTCCATTTTTCTTACATTCTTTCTCCCCTCCACCCTCTCCTACACATAGCCTTATCTTAGTGTCATAGAGCTGTACAGCATGGAAACAGACCCTTTGGTCCAACTCGTCCATGCCGACCCGATATCCTAAATTAATCTAGTCCCATTTGACAGCATTTAGCCCATATCCCTCTAAACCCTTCCTATTCATGTACCCATCCAGATGCCTTTTAAATGTTGTAATTGTACCAGCCTCCACCACTTCCTCTGGCAACTCATTCCATACACACACCACCCTGTGTAAAAAGGTTGCCCTTTAGGTCATCTTTTAATCTTTCCCCGCTCATCTTAAACTTATGACCTTTAGTTTTGGACTCCCCCACCCCGGGGAAAAGACCTTGTCTATTCACCCTATCCATGACCCTCATGATATTATAAACTTTTATAAGGTCACTCCTCAGTCTCCGACTCTCCAGGGAAAACAGCCCCAGCCTATTCAGCCTCTCCCTATAGCTCAGAACCTCCAAGTCTGGCAACATCATTCACAACATCCTTCCTACAGCAGGGAGACCAGAATTGCATGAAGTTTTCCAAAAGTGGTCTAGCCAACGTCCTGTACAGTCACAACACAAGTCCTATACTCAGTGCACTAAGCAATAAAGGCAAGTATTCCAAACACCTTCTTCACTATCCTGTCTACCTGTGACTCCACTTTCAAGGAACTATGAACTTGCACTCCAAGGTCACTTTGTTCAGCAACACTCCCTAGTTGTTTTGCATCTGGTTTACTTTGCTTTCAGTAGAGAGGACCCATTCTCTCCCTTTAGCACCTTTACACTCACTTTACATCTTTTATTCCCCTTTCACCACTTAACAACACCTTTGACTTTTGCTTTAGCCACTACATCGTATGATCCCTTTACCCCTCCTCCACCTCTGTCCAAGTATATAAGAACCCATTTTCCACCCCTTCCAGTTCCAAAGAAGAGTCACATCGGACTTGAAACATTGACTCTGTTTCGCTTTCCACTGATGCTGCTAGACCTGCTGAGCTGCTGCAACATTTTCTGTGTTTGTTTCATGTTTTATTCCCCATATTAACATATTATTAGCAAGGCTTTTGACAAGGTTCTGCATGGTAGACAGGTTAGTAAAGTTAGATCACATGGGATTCAGGGAGAGCTTGCCAATTGATTACAAAATTGGCATGATGATAGCAGACAGAGGAAGGTAATAGAGGGCTGTTTCTCGGGCTGGAGGCCTGTGACCAGCAGTGTTCTGCAGTGATTCCACATATTGGGTCCTTTGTTGTTTGTCATTTATATAAACAATTTGGATGCGTCTATAGGAAGCAGGATTGGTAATTTTGTGGATGACATCAAAATTGGTAGTATAGTGGACAGTGAAAAAGATTAAGATCCCTTTGTAATCTTAGACAATCAACTGGGGCAATGGGCTGAGGAGTGTCAAATGGAGTTTAATTTAGATAAATTAGAGGTGTTGCATTTTGGTAAGATGAACAAGGGCAAGACTTATATACAGTAAATGGTAGGGCCTTGGGGAGTGTTGTTGAACAAAGAGACCTAGCAGTTCGGGTAAATAGTTCTTTGAAAGTTGCATTGCAGATAAACAAGGTGGTAAAGAAGCATTTAGCATGCTTGCCTTCATTGGTCAAACCATTGAATATAGTGGTTGGGACATCATGTTATGGTTGTACAGGATGTTGGTGAGGCCACGGGTCTGTTTCCATGCTGTATGACTCTATGACACATTTCCATACAAAATAAGGTCCTTAAGACAGTGTCAAAATTTGGACATTCTATACTTTCTTTCTCCAAGTTTCCAATTTACACCCAAAGGACCAGCATTTTTCAAATACACTGAACCAGAATGCCACAAGAAAGTGCATAAATTACCAAAGTTAGGAAAACAACTATGAAGGAAGGTTCTGTATCACCTAAGCCTGTTGCTTAGATCCAACTTGATGTCCTTGGTTTAATTCAGGCCACTATTCTATTCAGAATTGTCACTCTGTATTATTAAAAGTATCTGATGCAGAAGCTGAAGAGGAAAAAGTGAGGCTTAGAATTTGCTGCTTTTCTTAAATGTAAGTATTGCAGTGTCAGAGAGGATTTCTCC